GTATTTATCCATGATGGAAATCTTTTTCTTTTATGTTGGTCGCGCGCGCATGAAAGCGTGAAGACTGTTCTTTTATAGGCATTTTAGAACATTATTACAGTATGCATAGCTGATACTATTCAATGTCGGCTCCAATTTTTTATTGTATGTAGATTGCTTTGAGGATCTGTAATTTTATAACCTAACTATCCTACACCAAGAAAATAAATTAAAACAGGAAAGTCTCAGTTCCACCAATGTTGAATTTTGCGAGATCAGCATTATATATATATATATATATATACTGCTATTCGAGGACACCCGTCTACTAGAGTGGCTAGCAGACGCTTGCTCAGGCGCATTTGTGTTTATTCAATATACACAGATATATACCACAGGTTTATACTGCAACAACTTAATTGCAGCTCCTGGGAAAGACAGTGTGATCAACAATTTGAACAAGTCTAGCACGCTCAAAACCAAGGTTTTCGTCTACCCTTTTTCACTTAATTTCAATTTTTTTCAACCCGTGGTATGGTTTTCAGGTACTTTCCAAAGGTGCTGCAGTCTGGGATCGATCTCTATCCATTCCAATAACATCAGGAAGTCGCCATCCGGACAAATCGACCATGGTGAGATTCGAACCCTGGTCTCATGGTCAGAATTCGAAGTCGGTGGCTGAAATTTTAAAATTTAAGATTTAAATTTTTTTATCTTGCTTACATAGTCTAACCAATTTTATTTAGTTTCTTTTTTGTTTTTGTTCCCGTATTTCATCATTTTCTGTATTCAGCATTGTAAAATATTCAGCACAAGTCTTGTAAAATATTTTAAAATAGAAGCGTGGATTATTCTGACGACCCCAGGGAATCAAAATATATTATTCTACCTACTAACTCTATCACAATTACAACTGAAAAGAATTTATCGAAGCTTAACATAAACTACTCCCTAGACAATAGTAAAATGCTTAATTAATACAAAACAAAATAATAAGCTGAAGCATGGAGGAATTTACACGATCACCTGTAATGATTGCCACAAGAAATACATAGGAGAAACCTCGAGAAATTTAAATAAAAGTTTATATAAACACAAAAGAGATATTTTAATAAACAATACACCCAATGCATTAGTCGTACACCGTAATTAATCTGGCCATAATCTCGATTAAAGAAAGGATACTTTAACTAAATGAAAAGGAAATTTAGCAAGGAAGTGATTTGATTGCTAGATTGTCAAGGTTAAATTTGTGTCCAGGTTCTTTCAATATTTCATTTGGCAGATCTTCTGTCTTCACAATGTTGGATACTTCATAATAAAAGTGATAATAATAAAAAAACAAAAGAAACAAAAAAAAAAAAAAACAAACAAAACAAAACTGTGACAAGCTAGAATGCTTATCCAGAGATATCTGAGAAAACAAATTATAATGTAAGATTTTAATATGTCAGCAATTTTTCACAAGGGTGTTTGAATAACTTGGACCGATTTTAAATGTGAATTAAGCTCAAGCGTCTAATGATTTTTTTCTTTCCCTTTCAGATTGGGCAAAAATTTGGGCGATATTACTTTTCACACATAATTAGCATGACTTAAATAAAATGATTCAATAGAGAAATAAATAAATTTTCACCAATAACATTGATTTATTTCCTGCTGACTTTGATCCCTCTTAATGAAACACCCTTATGTATAATCCATCTTAATGAAACACACTTTATATACAAGAATCTAGTTTCCAGTTCACTCTGCATTTGCGAGAACTATAAACAAATTACAAAGCCAAACTCTTCAAAAAGTTGAAACAGTGAAGTCAACTGGCCATCGTGTGACTTGACGCCTTTAGATTTCTTCCTTTGTGGTCATCTCAAAAGTAAGGTCTATCCCAACATGCCAAGAGCAATTCAACAGCTGAAGGATGCTATAATGAGGCATATTGGTGAGATCGAGGAGCAACTATGCAGAGACATCATCAAAAGTTTTGACCATCGAGTGAAGGTATGCCGCCGAAGTCTTGGTAGACATTTGGCCTTATTATTTTTCACACATAATTGTCATGACTTAAAAAACATGACCCAATAGAGAAATAAATAAATTTTCACCAATAACACTTATTTATTTACTGCTGACTTTGATCCGTCTTAATGAAACATCCTTTATAATTCTAGAAGAACACAACGTTAGTCCGATAAAAACCTTCCCAACTTACATCGAATTTTTGCAACTTTGTCATCCATTTGTTAAAAAATCATATATATATATATATATATATATATATATATATATATATATTGGTATAAACGTTATTTTATGGCGAGATATGTTTTTGTATACGGACCGTTTATTAAGGATGCGCATGTTTGAGTATAGATTCTACTCGAATAAGGTGGTCCTCAAGACAACATTAAGATTAGTAGAAAAAAATGTTGGATAAAGAATCGATTGATTTCTTAGAAAAAATATTTGTGTGTGGGGGGTGGATAAGACACAAACTTATGCACATTAACTATATCTCCAGCCTTTAATATCTATCTATCTATCTATCTATCTATCTATCTATCTATCTATCTCACTTTGTTCATATCTCTCTCTCTCTCTCTATCTATCTATCTATGTATCTATCTATCTATCTATCTATTTCACTTTGTTCATATCTATTTATCTATGTCACTTTCTTCATATGTATTTATCTATCTCATTTTGTTCATATCTATCTATCTATCTCACTTTCTTCATATCTATCTCACTTTGTTCATATCTATCTATCTATCTATCTATCTATCTATCTATCTATCTATCTATCTATCTATCTAACTTTCTTCATATCTATCTATCTATCTATCTATCTATCTATCTATCAGGTCCTAAGACGTTGACATACAAAGTAAAGAAATGCTTTGTTATTGGAATAAAAAAGAAGACTTCTCAGACTTTGAACTCCCCAATCTTCTTGAAAGAAGAGACCCCTAGTTCTCAAAATATATATTTGCCTTTAAGGATTCTTTGTTTTCTTTCCTTTTCTGGCCGTCGTTCAGTTCTTCGCTTTTACTCGTCTATTTGTTTTCATTTCTTTTCGGCCCCTGATTACATTCGTCAGGTCACCGTCGGATGTCAGCTCGTCCCACTGAATAATGTGTAGAGGGCAAAGTGCTGTTTTTAACCCCGCACCCCCCGCTAAAAAACACTCATTTCTTAAAGACAGTAACCAAATCCTCGCCACTCTAGCCTTTGCTATTTTTCTCTGTTTATTCAGGACGACCAAACGAATAACCAATCGTTTGTGTGTGTCCTACAAAATGGACATTGGATAAGGCAGTTGAATTTTTACCAAAGCGATACACGTGGGAACTGACCACTGCCCAGTTGCTGGAATTATTTACTGGTCAGTCCATTGACGGCAGGGTCGTCGTATGGGGCCTCGGGCACCTCCACACGAATCTATGATACGAGCCCCCCCCGCCCCAGTCTACTGCATCTCAGTTTTCAAGGTAGCATTTTATGTAAAATACAAATTTTATTGCAACTTAATAATGGTGATTTTTAGACGTATCTTAGATGTGGCACAAGACTGAAAGTATGGGGCACAATGTGAGGATCGAACTATTTACGCAGTCGTAATTGTTCTGTAAGACTAACTTGCTGAACATTAAACTACGTTCAGGTGTTCTGGTAACCTAATTATGTGTATAATTTCAGAATATATATATATATATATATATATATATATATATATATATATATATATATATATATAAATGACAATAGGAAAAAAAACGTTTCGTCAATGGACTTTATCAAAAGCAAAATATTTTGCTTTGATAATGTCTACATGGACAAACTATCATTAAGACCAATATTGTCATTTTTATTATAAATATTGTCTTCTCTACTGGTTAAATCGAAGAAACTTTCACACACACACACACACACACACACACACACACATATATATATATATATATATATTATAAAATATGATTGTTCTGCTACATAAGAGTTCTCATGTTTCAAAAAGGTGAGCCAAAAACCTCAGTATAATAACCTCAAATAATCCTAACTTTTCGCTTGAGGATGAAACAGGGCTTGATACTTTAATTCAATTTAATTTTAATAATTATATTGAGGTTTTCGGCTCTCGTTTTTGAAACATGAAAACTCTTATGTAGCGAAGGAATCATATTTTTTAAAAATAATTATAATTTAGGCTCTACTTTTGTATTGAACACTGCTTTTTAAAAATAAGAAATAAAAATACGAAAGAACTTCAGATTATTTATCTAACGTGTTCTTTCCTATTTTTCGAGTAGATATTGGGGCCACCACAGATCAACTCTTTTTAGATCAATTTTTATTCAGCTCTTTAGTAATTGCTGCTGTGAATTGTATGCTACAGGAATTGTCTTAAACTCTCCCAAATGCGATAACAATCACTTTTTGATAAGTTTAAAAGATATGCATAAATATTAATTAAGCCATTTATTTTAAAAATAATTATAATTTAAGCTCTACATCTGTATGGAGCACTGTTTTTTTTTAAAATAAAAACAAAAACACTAAAAAACTCCGGATTATTTACCTAACATGTTCTTTCCTATTTTCTACATATCTACACACACACACACACACACACACATACACACACACACACAAACACACACACACACACACATATATATATATATATATATATATATATATATATATATATCATTTCCGTTGAGTTTACCGATTAAATAGGTCAATGTCTGATCCTTACCGCCTCCTTCCTCAATATTAATTATTATAATAAAAAGAAATATAAAAATAAATTTTAAAACTCTGCCTTCCATCTCTAAACTCAACCATATCTCTCTCACTATTCCTCACCACCTTCTATATCAACGTATATAAGCTTAACACTGCCCGTCAAAAGTGTAAATATTAAATTCATTTTTCATTTCACTTTTTGAAAGTGAAGTCTGAAGATCCAGAGAAAAATAAAATTCTCTGGTGAAATAAATTATTACAAATGGAGCATTAAAGTGGCCTGTTTTTCTTTAAATTAATATATATATATATATATATATATATATATATATATATATATCAGTGCAATATAAATATATATAAAACGAAATGTTTTAAGAAATTATGATATTTAAGAAATATTTTAAAATCTAAAAGGCCAGATAGGGTCCCGGATGCAGAAGTGCTCGAAAGAGCTGGCATCAGTCACGACAGCAGTCTCGGTAGCTTGGACACGTTGTGTGCATGGATATCTCCAGAATTCCTAAACGGATACTGTATAGGGAACTGTCAATGGACACGCGTAAAACGTCCATGATGGAATTTTCTGTCAATTTTGCGAACTGGGATGCTGCTGTCCGTGATCAAGTTGGGTTGAGTGCTGCTCTTTTCGCGTAAGCAAAGAGTTAATCAAAGAATAGGGTCCAGCATGCCGTAGAGGCTAGACAAAGATGCAAATGCCCTCCCCGACGGTGGATTATTCCACAATATTCTACTACTGTGGCCGTTGTCATAATTTTAATTTATTTTTTATTTTTGTTTACTTATTTTATTTTTATCTTTTATTTTATAGAGTCTCACTAAAGGCCCATTGTTTATCTGTGTTGGGATGTGTGGTCAGCTAAGACAGTTTTGTGCCATGCGCGATACACGCGTAGGTGATCATGTATCTTTTGATGCATGACTGACGAAGCAGGTTTTTTTCCTGCAGTAGGTTTTCATTTCTCTCCGCGGCAGACCAGTTGCCATCCAAGGCCATAGAACCCGGTCTGTTCTGCTATTTACCCACAAAAGAAGAGGATTCATACCTTTTCCGAGGGTATTAGCACGACTGGAATTCGAACTCTGCTCTCCAATTCAGTTAAGTGCCATGCGCGATAGACACTTAGGCGATCATGTATCTTTCGATACATGTTTGACGAGGCAGATTTTTTCCTGCAGTATTTGCCATTTCTCTCTGCGGTAGACCAGTTGCTATCCAAGGCTATAGAACCCAGTCTGTCCTGCTATTTACCAACAGAAGAAGAGGATTCATACCTTTCCCAAGGTATTAGCACGACTGGAATTCGATTCAGTTATGTGCCATGCGTGATACACGCTTAGGCGAACATGTATCTTTCGAAGCATGACTGACGAGGCAGATTTTTTCACGCAGTAGGTTGCCATTTCTCTCTGCGGTAGGCCAGTTGCCATCCAAGGATATAGAGCCAGGTCTGTTTTACGATTTACCCATAGGTGTGGGAGGAGAAGAGGATCCACACCTTTCCCAAGGATATTAGCACGTAAGTGAATGTAATTGATTCGATTGGAATTCGAACTCGGCTCTCCGATTCAGTTATGTGCCATGCTTGATACACGTTTAGGCGATCATGTATCTTTCAATACATGACTGATGAGAGAGATTATTTCCCGTAGTAGGTTGCCATTTCTCTCTGCGGCGGACCAGTTGCCATCAAAGGCTATAGAACCCAGTCTGTACTACTGGAATTCGAACTCGGCTCCCCGATTCAGTTATGTGCCATGCGTGATACACGCTTAAGCGATCATGTATCTAGGGTATTAGTACGTAAGAGAATCCAATGGGTTCGACTGGAAAAGACACAACACTTAACTCGACAGAGGCAGTCAGTACTCACTGCAACAGTATTACCTTCTTTTCTTTCTAAACAATTACCCAGGACTACTTATCATGAATAAATCAGTCCATTCTCGATAGTAAGGAGAGTAGCTGGATCTTACCACAACAATCTGAGTTAGTGGCAAGGCGTAACGTACGTGCTAACAAGAGAACAGGCAGAATTATAATATCATAAAATAATAATAATATATTTTGTTTTAATATTCATCTGTTTTCGTGATAATATTCTTTCCCCAAAACGCTGCATCGATATCGAAATGTATAAAATAAGAAACTGACTTCAGCTGCGATGACTATCTCTCTTACGTGACTCACCAAAGGAGAATTCCTTTTTTAAGTTGAGTCGATCTGCCATTGTCTCAACGGGTTAATAGTGTCCCTTGTCACATCAAAAGAAATTGATATTTCAGACAGTGAAGGAAAAAGTAAAGCGAATATTACGTTTGTTTTGGTCGAATTGGATTATTGATGTTATTATCGAGATAAAGCAACTTGCATCAATTTTTTTCAACTATTCTTTCGCGAATATATATATATATATATATATATATATATATATATATATGGAGAGATAGAGAGATAGATAACTTATCTAACCATTTCTGCCTGTTTTTTTTCTTTGTTCTGTATTCTGCATATATTTGACCTTTTTTTTTTGTTGCTATAATCAACTGTGACCTTTCTATTCGACTTTTTCAAAACTTCCTAACGATTCCTGGTTACCATCTTGAATAATTCTTTTCTTCATTTACCTGTTTTCCTCAGTCGTTCCATGTCTGCAAATTGGTGTTAAGCTTTTCGTAAACTAACAGAAAACTGAAACAAATAAATTCAACACGGCGTAATTGTAAAGGAAGAAATATATGAAGGCCTTC